AAAGACCTCTAAAAAGTTGTAAAAAGCAGAGATGTCATTTTGAAGACTGAACTGCTCCTGACCAGAGCCTTAGTATTTTCAGTAGCCTCATCTGCATATGAAAGGTGGAGAATGAGTAAGAAAGATCAAAGAAGAATTGATGCATTTGAATTGTGGTGTTGGTGAAGAATATGGAAAGTATGGACTTGAAAAGAATGAACAAATCTGTCTTGGAAGAATTGGAGCCGCGATGCTCCTTAGAAGTAAGAGTGGCCAGACTTCATCTCACTTTCCTTGGTCATGTTATCAGAAGGGACCAGTCTCTGGAGAAGGATAACATACTTGGTAGAGAGTCAGTGAAAACAGGGAAGATCCTCGTGAGATGGATTGACACAGTGGCTACAAGTATGGGTTCAAGCATGGCAGCAATTGTGAGAATGGTGCAGGACCGTGCAGTGTTTCTTCTGTTGTGCGTTGGGTTGCTATGAGTTGGAACCACCTAGTCACCATACATCACATTACACATTTAAGATTAATATTCTTTATATATCAGAAATTTTTCTGAGTACTAATAGTATGGTAGGTATTTGTAGTAACTACCCCCTTAGTTCATTCTACCTCGCCTCCAAATCCAAATATGGTTCAGGAATAAGTAATTGAAAATTATTGTATACTGAAATATTTTATGTGATAAAGTGAAAAAGTTTGTCTTGAGTTAGAAAATTTGGTACTAAATACTCTGCTGTTTTTCATTCCTTTCAGTCTTGTAAAACCTGGACTTTTGTGATTTTGTGCAAGTTATTTTATCTCTCTTATCGTACAGTTGAGATAATTTCATTTCTAATTTCTCAGATTATCAAAAGGATTAAATGACATGATGAGTGTAAAATTGCATTGCACCTAGTGAAGTATGCAGATTTATAGTCTTTTCATAATCTATTGAGACGTTTGATGTGTAGGCTCATCTACCCCAAATACTAGAATTCTTGTGGAGATTGTGCTCATAATGGTTGAGTTACCCTGTATACCAGGCTGCTCAGTTTCTTCTTTTCTCAGATGACTGAGAAGTTTGAAGTGCTCTTGGAGACAGATAGAAACACTCTGAGCCATTCTACCCTATTCTCCCAAACATTTGAATAATTCATTCTTAACATTTTTAAGTCTAAACTTTTGGAACTCCTTATGTTTCTCTCACTGTATTTCATCAACTGCTGAAATGTCATTGATTATGAAATATACCATTTTTTTATGTTGCACTAAGGTGAACTTCTTACCAACTTTTAAGGAGTCTAAGGACTTTCTGAAGGCGCTCTTGTGGCATAGTGCCGGAGGTATTTGACTGCTAACCAGAAGTTTGGTAGTACAAACCCACCAGCCAGTCCACGATAGAAAGACTGGCAATCTATTTACATAAGATTTACCACTTTGGAAACCCATAGGGGGTCTCTGTGAGTTGGATTTGATTCCATGGCAGTGAGTTTGGTTTAAGGGTAAAAAGTAATGTCAGTTACAGTTGTAAGAAGCTATTGATTATAAATTATCTCTTAGTTTCAGAGATAATAATTGGAGGAAAATGTGCATCCTTGAACAATAAAATACAAAATGTTTTTCTGCAGTGCGGTGTTATTTTTCACTTTGGTAGATTTTTTGTTTCTGTTAGTATGACTTACAAGTTGAAGCATTTTATAGCTATCTAAGAATGTTGGAGTTCAGTGTAACTTAAGTAGTCGTTGTGTAACCAAAATTAAATATATGTAATTTACAGAGAAAACAAATATAAGATGAAATATTTATCATTGTTCTTTCAAGACTTCAAATTCACATTAAAGTCACCTGCACTAGGCTTTTGACTTAATGATTGCCATCAAATTACGATTAAATTTTAGTAACTTAAAAAAATGTTTTATTAATATCAGATCACAAACAGAAATTGTGAACATTTTTATAAGAGCCAGAAGTGTTTTGTCTTATCCACTGACACAATTGGGCCATTAATACATCATAACTTCTCAAATATTTTTTGAATAATAAATTTTCTAAATAATCACTTTAAGCATTGTATTTGTCATCTGAAAGCAACTAGAGATCTTTAAGCTTACAAAGTTTATACTTTTTTCCCTTAAACTAAAACACATTGGTCTTCGACTCATTGGTGGAAGAACTATTTTTTAGTCATCATTTCCCAAGTTTTAAACTGATGCCAAGATTAAGAATTGTTCCTGTGACAGGGAAATGAAGTTAAGCACTCCAGTTGCTTAATGAGAGAAAATTAGATATAGAGTCCCTGGGTGGTGAAAAAGGTTAACAAGCTTGACTGCTAACCTGAAAGGTTAGAAGTTCAAGTCCCTCTAGAGCCACCTGAGAAGAAAGGCCTGGCAGTCTGTTCATGGAGCACAGTTCTACTCTGACAAATATGTTGATTCTATTCTGGCTTGAATCTGAATCTACTTGATGGCAGTTGAGGATTTTTTGGTTACTTTGGTCTGAGGAAAATCCAAATGTGCATCAAGAATAGGTAATTGATGTTTGAGGGGATATTTGAGTTGCCATAACAAAAGCAGTTTTTTAATCAATATTTTGCATTTCAAGGATACACTTAGTAACTGGTATATTAACTAATGCACATTTGAACATTGTCTCTGTCTCCTCTTTGTTTACTTTTGTTAGGAACAAGACTTCCAACCAATTCATTCCATTTTGACCCTCTGCTGATAATTTGCATTTCCACCCAGACATACTGAATCAGAATATACGTTTAAGAAGCTAGATTGTGATTCACTGTATCTGGGTTGGAAATTCACATTCTCAGCAGAAGGTCAAACTGGTTTGAAGCCCTAGTTATAACTATAAACTACAACCAAACTCATTGCCATCCAGTTGATTTGATTCATAGTGATCCCATAGGACAAAGTGGTGGTGGTGGTGGTGGTGCTAGGTGCTACCCAGTCTGCTCCCACTCACAGTGATCCCATGTTATGACAGAATAAAATACTGCCTGGTCCTATGCTATCCTAACAATCCTTGCTATATGCTTGAGCCCATCATTGCAGCTGCTTTATCATAAGTCCATCTTATTGAAGGTCTTCCCCTTTTTCTCTGACCCTCCACTTTACCAAGCATGATATCCTTCTCCAGAGACTGGATCCTCTGACAACATGACCAAGGTAAGTGAGATGAAGTCTGGTCACTCTGGCTTCTTAAGGAGCATTCCAGCTGCACTTCTTCCAGGACAGATTTATTCGTTCTTCTGGCAGTCTGTGGTATTTGCAGTATTCTTCACCAACACCATAATTTAAGGCTTCTGCTGTTTGGTCCTCCTTATTCATTGTCCAGCTTTCACATGCACATGAGGCAACTCACATGGCTTGAGTTAGGTCCACCTTAGTCTTCAAAATGACATCTTTGCTTTTTAAAGAGATCTTTTGCAGCAGATTTACCTAGCAGAGTAGAACTGCCCTATATAGCATAGTGCCTAAGGTATTTGACTGTTAACCAGAAGGCTGGTGGTTCAAACCCACCAGCCACTCCTCAGAAGAAAGACTGGACAATCTACTTCCATAAAGATACTGCCTCAGAAACCCAAGGAGGGGTCACTACAAGTAGGGACTAACTCAACGGCAGTGACTTTGGTTTTCATATAGGCTATAAATGTTTATGGAAGCAAACCACCAAATTGTTTTCCCGTGTAGCTTGTGGGTTCGAAAAGCCAAACTTTCAGTTAGCAGCTATACTCTTTCATCACTACACCACCCAGGCCCCTTGGTTATGAGTATAGTTATGCAAATTAGTTACTTCTTAAAACCTAGGGCAAATCAAATTGGTCATTAGTTCTTAAAGAAACTTTAATTAATGCTTTTTGCTTTTCTTAAAAAAATAATATTATGGAAAAAATAATTTATAGGCACTTATGTTCTTATCTGCTAATTATAGGCAGATAGGTTTATTCTAGATACAAGAGAACAATGATGAATATTTGAGGAATTTACATTAATAGAATGTGTATATTGATTAACTTTTGTATATGGAGGCCTGCCTTTTTTTTTTTTTAAAGCCTGTCTGATTGACTTGACAAATCATAATTTTTAGCCAGAAATATATGGACTTCATTGTAAAACTTAGGAATGAGAAGTAGTAAGGGAATTTAGGAACATAGTCTCTGGTTGGTTTTTGTTTGGTTGGTTTGTTCAGTGCCTTTTCAGTTAAGATTAAATGGGAACTAGTAGTATATATTTAAAGATTAAAGGGAAAGAGCCAGTGTAGAAGATAAAGATGTAAGAGGAATTGAATGCAAGTTCATATCTGTAGGGCAAGTAAAGCACTCTCCTCTTCATACATCATTCTACCCTCCCTCGTCCCACTCTGGAAGTTATTGAAGAGCCATATTATTTTATGGAATTTATAGCTCATTCATCTTAATATTTACTCCAGCTAAATAACCTTTAGAGACTATTTTTTATATATGATGCCCAACTGTTAATGCATTAAATATATAGAAGTACATAGCACCTTTTTAAAATTTGTTTTGATCAGGAAACAGAGGTCATGGTTGCTAAAATTCTTGGTACTGCTAATAACTGTTTCAAGGAAGTGTTGCCTACTGACAGCTACTTATTAATCTTTCTTCATAGTCACTTGTTCTTAGTGATGCTATTCTGGTTTTTGCTAGATTGAGGATTTGCTGTGCTTAGAGGATAGGCCAGACCCTTAAGAATGCTGTCCCTGAAACATTTTAGATCTGTTGGGCTTCTAGGCCTCAAGGTGGCCACTGGAGAGAGCAAAGAAGAAGGTTGCATTTTGGTGGCAGCAGGCTGGAAAAGTATCATCGGGAACCAGCAGCAAAAGGGAGAAGCCAAAGATGATACAAGAACCTCACTGTTTCCCATAAGACACAACAAGGCATCTCTAGTTTGCTGCCTATATGACTTTTCTGATCTTCAAAACATGACTCTTCCCTGCCCCCCAAGGATTATATCTTATGGATAAATTCTAGAAAACTGACCATTTTATTCATTGTTTATTAGTACGAGGATGTCGTCCAGGAAAGATTGTGCAGATGACCGAAGCAGAAGTTCGGGGCTTATGTATCAAGTCTCGGGAGATCTTTCTCAGCCAACCTATTCTTTTGGAATTGGAAGCACCGCTGAAAATTTGTGGTATGTAAATGAGTAAAGTTGGAAACAATCTATTTTCAATCACTTAGGCTTTTTTCCCCATATTTACATTGAGGATGATCTGGAGAAAAAAAAAAATACTTAATTTTGTGTAAAAAAGATTGGTAAGTTTTATTACATAAAATTGCATGGAAGTTGAAACTTTCATTAAAATAAGCAGTTACAACAAGAATATAGATGCTACATGTACAACAGATTGCTGTTCACAGTATATCAAGAGTTCTTAGAAAAACAACAAAAATTAAAAGTGACCAAAAATAGGAAGAGGCAGATATTAAAAGAAACTGAAGTGACCAATAAACGTAGGTTTCTCAGCCTTACCTGGTAATCAAGAAGATGCAGTTTCAAACAAGCCCCCCACCTAAATCAGACTGCAAAAAAAATTTATATATGCGGTGTTGTCAGGGATGTGGTGAAATGGGCTTTGTGTAGTACATGATTAAAAAGTAAAACAGATAAAGAATTTGAGGGTTCAGTCTTCTGACTTTGTTATGTTAATTTATTTTGAAACTTTTGGGGGGGAAACAAACTCAACTGCCATCGAGACTCATAGCAACCTGCCCTTGGGTTTCCAAGGCAGTATTTCTACAGAAGTAGAATGCCCAGTCTTCCTTCCGAGGGTGGCTGGTGGGTTTGAACCACCAGCCTTCTGGTTAGTAGTCAAATGCCTTAGGCACTATGCCACCAGAGCTCCCCAAAAAGTAACTTATATTATTTTATAATAACTTATGTTACTTTACAATTTGTGTTTGTTCTGTTAACTCTTACTAGCTTTTGGCCAAACCCAAAAACTTACAGCCTTAAATTGATAAAACTCAGCAAGAGGAATATTGTATAAAAAGTAGCTTGGGGGGGGGGTAAGTTCACATAAAAACAGCAGGAAGTGTGGTGTATATACTGTGTCTTTTTGGTTTGGTACTGCAGGCATTTTTTTTTTGTAGTAGTAGTTATTAATGTTTATAACATAGCTTTTATGGACTTATTAGAAGCTTTTTGTTCAATCAAGGATTGTTTGTAGAGGTTTTTTCCCTACTGCTTATTTCTTACTGATCCACATTCACACCATGTAACCTGTAGTTGTTGAGTGTGTTCTTTGAATACTTTTATTCTCTTTCTTCATGTGGTTTATTAATACACTTAGTGCTCCTTGGTACAGTGCCCAACAAATAGATATTAGCTGATTAAATGTTGGTTGAATGAATTAATAAATTAACTCAGAGTACCACCTTTAAGAGGTAGTAGTTGAAGTCACGTGTCAGCCAAAGATGGCTGCGCCCAGGCTAAGAAAGCCGAGGTTGTTTTGAGCCCCAAAGTAGCTGAGGAAAACCAGAGCAGGCACCGGCTGCTGAGAGAAGGAGAGCATAAGGCTCCAAGATGGAAAATCATGATCCAGATAAGACTATCAAGGAAAACTTAACAACTCTTGATATTGTAACCAGTAAAATTAACCAACTTCCAGAAGAAGAAAAGTAAAATACCTTAAAAATATCTCTTACCAAGGAATCTACTTGAACATGGATCAACATATATTGGACTTAGTGCTGCTCTCTGTGAGCTAATAGCAAACAGTCTTTTTGGATGCATCTTAAACGTGACACAGGCTTGGATAGCTACCAGCTTACCAATGGCAGTGCTTCCATTTTTGACAGCACATGTAACTTATAAAGGTTTTGTAAGCTTACCTTTGAGTACAGGTAAATTCTATTTCACTATCACTGTAAGTCTGTTTTGGTATATATTATTTGCAACTTAAATTTTAATAATAAATATCAAATGCTAAAGTAAAAAAAAAAAAAAGAGAGGTAGTAGTTGAAGTTTTGTAGAAATTATCAGTCCCTTTTATGAATTTAAATGAGAAAAATGTATTTACTTAAAGGTGGTCTCAAAAATAAAATGATTCAAAGGATTGCCAAGGTACTCCTAAAAATACTATAATATAGAAATATTTTGAATACAGTAGAAATTATTACTGATACATTTTTCTAAATTCTTGTTTAAGAGTAGCAGTATTATTTATCTATTGTTGTATAGTAAATTATCTCAGCACTTTGTAACTTAAAACATTTATCTATTATCTTACGCTTTATGTGGGTCAGGAATCCAAGTGCAGCTTAGTTGGGTCCTCTTGTTCTCTTACAGGGTTCCAGTCGAAGTGTCAGCTGGTTGCAGTCATCTCATGGCTCATCTAGGAAAGATTCAGTTCTTTGCCACATGGGTTTCTCTAGAACAGCTGACAGCATGGCAGCTGGCTGGCTTCATCAGAGCAAGCTTGCAAGCAGTTATAGAAGTCACAGTCTTGTTACCTTATCTTGGGAGTGACAGTCCATCAATTTTGCCATATTCTAGAATCAAGTCACTAGGTCCACCTGTGCTCAGGGGGAGGGAATTATATTAGATGTGAACATTGGGAGCCATTTCTTAAAAGCTACCTACCATAGTAACCAAATTTTCTAAAACTGATTTTTTCTATTTTTAGGAGACATCCATGGACAGTATACAGATTTACTGCGATTATTTGAATATGGAGGTTTCCCACCAGAAGCCAACTATCTTTTCTTAGGAGATTATGTTGACAGAGGAAAACAATCTTTGGAAACCATTTGTTTGCTATTGGCTTATAAAATCAAATATCCAGAGAACTTCTTTCTCTTAAGAGGAAACCATGAGTGTGCTAGCATTAATCGCATTTATGGATTCTATGATGAATGTAAGTAAAACTAAAAACTTAGTAGTTAATAGAAAATTCCAAAATAATTTTCCAATTGAAAAGAATTTCTTTGATTCGGAGTTTTTCAAAATACGATCTATTAGGCATAGACTCAAAGACAGAGTGTTTCACAAACAAGGAACCTGAAACTGAAAAACATGTATGTTATTAGTTACTTCCTTGGGATCTCTCTGATAATATTATATCAGCTTGACTACAGCTTATTCATCTGAAAGGGACCTCTATTAGTTAGTTTGCATGTCAAAATATTCTGGTGAAGCAGAGAGCAATAAAGGCATTGGCGTCTGGTTTTCTAGAATCCATTAAGGTCTTAGCTGTCAGCATTCTTGTGTGGTATCAGAGGAACACTTACCAACCCTGTGTCATAAGAACTATTACAAAGTTCTGTGAAACTATTTAAAATTTATTATTAGAATTGTGATCTATATCTGTAAACCAAGAGAAACAAGAATATTGCATAATCTAGAGTATCCTTATTTTATTGTACTCCTTTTCACCAGTAACCAAAAATCACTGCCATTGAGTCAATTCTGACTCATAGTGACCCCTATAGGATTTCTAAGGCTGTAAATCTTTACAGAAGCAGCCTGCCTCATCTTTCTCTCACAGAGCAGCTGGTGGGTTTGAACCACTTACCTTTTGGTTAGCAGCTGGAATGCCTTAACTACAGCACCACCACTAATTTGCTGTTGTATAGCAGTAGTGTTTTCTTGGTCTTTTGGGTTTGCTACATAGAATATGGGAGCGTATATTTGGTTAATTACAACTTAGAATAAATTACAATAATTTAAATTACACTGAATTTACTCTTTTTTAGTGCTGAATTTTCCCCTATTAGAATAGGGTTTTACTTTTTTCCCATCATTTTATATTGTATAGTCCTATTAATACTGTGAAGTATCTCCAATCTGTATAATCATTCATTTGACAACTGTTTGAGAACGTGGTATATGCTAGGCACTCTTCTAAACACTGGGAATGCAAGAGTGCAGTAGACAGATGATATCTATTCTTATGGAGCTATATACTAATGTAACTGATTCTGTATCTTACATCACATTTTTATCCTCATATATAATGTTTGAATCAGCCCAGGTGAGAAGTGGGTTATAGTATGTCAAATTACAATCATGTTTGTAAAGCTACATCAGAAATAGGGATATATTCTTCAAAGTTGAAATAAAGGCTTGAATAGTCAGCCTTCTTGAAGGTAAAACTAACATCAATGAAATCATGTATGTAAAATCAGCTTCTAAACTCTGCTTTGAATTATACGTATTCATTGAGAAGCGATCTATGGCCTAAAAACCTAAGAAATTCGTATTTGTGTTTTAAATCTTTCCTTTGGATTATTGATGTAGCATATTGCCAAATTTGTGAAAATCAAGTAATTCTCAAGAGGTTTACGTACACTTGACACTGTCTTTGTCGTACCTGTTTGTGCTAGAGTATAGGAAAATCGTAGCCTTTCTGTCTCTATACTTGTTCTAGTGACAATTTTTAATTCACTCACTCAAAAGTGAATACCAGTTAAACACTTAGAAATTCTCCTTTCTTGGCAGTAAGTTTACACTGTGTTACTCAGTACAGTGGTGCCAAGTGGACAGTCTCCAGAGATACCCCCTTTCTCTTCTGCTTACTTATTTGGCTAGGTATTTATCTAGTGTACTGGGTCCTGTCCTCATCCTCCATAACCCCCACACCCCCCAGCAAATAACATGCCTTCTACATTTGTTTGCCAGTCACTCTCTCCCTGCTGGAGGTATTATCGTAGGAAGTGTCACTATACTAATTTTTTCTCTACATGTTGCTGTAAAAATACAGAAATACCTCCTGGGTAGAGGGAACAATTGGCACACAAACATAGAAAGTACATATTATCTTAAAAAAAAACTATGGTGAATGTTGAAAGAAAAAAATAGTCTGTTGAACTATTTCAAAATTGCTGTGTTATAATCTTAAAAGAGAAAATGTTCTGTGTTTTTGTTTCATAAAACACCTAGCACACTCTTTGAAAGTCTTTAAAATTTACTGAACATGATGAATGTTTATTATATTTATTACTTTCTAAAATGTATACAAGTTAACGCTTAAAGAAAAAAACAGTTTAATTTTTTAGATCTGGCCATGCTATAATTATACATAGATTAATATATTAATATTTGTAGCTAGGTAGTTTATTATTTCTTATTTATCTGCTTACTCTACAGGCAAACGAAGGTTTAATATTAAATTGTGGAAAACCTTCACCGATTGTTTTAACTGTCTGCCTATAGCTGCCATTGTGGATGAGAAGATATTCTGTTGTCATGGAGGTAAACTAATGCATTTGCTTTATTGGTTTTTCCTACCATCTTCCACTATCTCTAATAATTAAAATTCTAAAGGAAAATAAAATAGTTCTTGTGTGAAAACTCAAATTATTAAAAACTGCTTTAAACATAACTAAAACCTCTTTTAGATCATGATTATTCATAAATATGAAAACTTAACATTTAACCTTTAAAGTATTTCACATGAGGACACCTAAATTTTTTTAAAAAAAAAAAATTTTGTGATTTGAGTGAAAGTTTACAGAGCAAATTCATTTTCCATACAGCAGTTCATACACATTTTGTATCATGACATTAACTGCAATTTCCCACAATGTAAAAGTTCTCTTCCCACTTCCTCCCCATAGTTACCTCTTCCTTGTGTCATTCCCTCCCATGCATTCCCACCCCCTGGGCTGTCTCCCTGTGCAAACACTGCCCTTCTGTTTTCTCATGATTGATCTCTCCATGATTGATTGCTCCAAGGAATTTATCTACCTAATATAAATGTTCACCCCATATGCCTTATCTATTCTTTGGCTGGAAGCCACCAGAGTAAGTTCAGTCCTAGACATGAAAGGTGGTTAGGGGCCATAGTCTTGGGGGTCTCACCAGGCTCTATCAGACCTGTAAACCTGGCCTTTTTTTTTTATGATTTTGAGTTTTGTTCCACATTGTTAGAACAGCTAAACTTTTGTTTGAAAAATGTCTTTCCTTTTTCTTCTAGCCTCAAATCTTGACAGAAAGATAACCCTGCTATCAGTAAATAGGAGAGTGTCATTATGTTCCTGTATTAAATATCTTTCAACAGAATTCAGATATAATTGAGCTTAATATTCATACATGCTGAGTTCCAGGCTTTATGTGATATGCCTACATTAGTCCTAAAAATAATTTTTTGGTAGAATGGTTAATTATTATTCCATAAGGCTTGTGGAATAAATTTGAATATATGAAAGTTCATTTCGAAAATTGATGTGTGTCTATTACTTAACTAGGTGCAGTGAAAACGTGGATAGTATTTGGCCAGGACATCTGGAGGAAATTAAAAAATTTATCAACAGAATTATGTTTATCAAACAAATGTTGAGTAATAAAGGAGATTTAATTATGTCAGTACTTGTAAGGACAGTTAATTATAAGTCAGGAAAGGGAGAGAATTTTCGGAGGGAGCATGGGCTTTAGTGGATAAATAGAATCCTGGAGGTGCCGTGGTTAAAGTGCTTAGCTGTTAACCAAAAGGTCAGTGGTATAACTGCTGCTTGTGAGAGAAGAATGTGGCAGTCTGCTTCCATAAAGATTTACAGCCTTAGAGACACTATCGTACAGTATTCTGCTCTGTCCTATGGGATCACTTAGATTTTGAAAAGGTGAAATAGACTTGAGAACTATGGCTGTGTTGTCTAGTTCAGGGACACTACAAGGACTAACCTGACTAGAATGTCAGGTACCTGTTGAGATAAATTAGAGATTGGATTAAAGGAAAATCTGAACACTATGCAAAGGAATTTGTTGAGTGGTTTAATAACTACTTTGAGTTTTTAATTATGAAAATAGTGTAAGAAAATAGTTTTTCTTGACCATACAGGAAGGATTGAAGACAAAAAATATTACGATAGATGAACTTGTCTAGACATTAGGTAATAAATGGTTTATTCTCTAACAGAACACTATATTAATGGAAGCATGTTTTCCAGTATATACTAAAATATTTAAGGAATTGTAGCTCTTACATCTTTATAGCTCAGAATGAAAATGTAGAAATTGAAGAAATTGACTGTTGAACCTCATTCCTTATGATAATACTTGGATTGCCTACCAGAAAGAAATGTTAATACGTAATATATTTAAATATTAATATATAGTTATTTATGTGCCACTTTAAAGAGTGCAGAGTATTTTCATGTACTTTTCCTTGGTTTCACCTTCTGATCAAGTTTATCCTTTATGAAGAAGATAATGAGCATGTTGGAGTCTGTTGTACAAAGGTGGGATGGGGCTTTAACTTGGAAATCAAAATGTTTAAGGTTAGGTAATAAGGAAGAAGTGGCAAAAGTGACAGGAAGGATTGGAATTGAATATGTTCTTATGAAAGTCTGGGAATGGTTGGAAGGAAAGAAGAATTGTGGGGTTTGTTTCCTTGGGAAATGATTTGATAGAAGGAGATTTCATTTCCCTGGTGAGAAAACTGTCTTAGTTATCTAGTGCTGCTGTAACAGAAATACTACAACTGAATGGCTTTAACAAACACTAATTTATTCTCCCAAAGTTTAGGAAGCTAGAAGTCCAGATTCAGAGCACTAGCTCAAAGGGAAGGCTTTCTTTCTTTCTCAGCTTTAGGGGAAGATTCTTGTCTATATTCAACATCTGTGAGCCCAGCGTTCTTAGAGATCTGCATGCATCTTGCATCAGTATTCCCCCTGGTCTAGGGTTTCCTCAGCACAGGAACCCAAGGTCCAAAGGATGCATTCCACTCCCTACCCTTCTTTCTTGGTGATAGGTCCCTCCTTCTCTGCTCCTTTCTGACTCCTAAGATAAAAGGTGATAGAGGGCCATGACCTAAGGAAACTCTTCTTTCATGAGATCAGGTAGCAACCTAAGTACGGTGTTACATCCCACCCTAACCCCTTTGTATCTGATTGATCACATCATAAGGGATTATTATATCATTACATAACTGCCAAACCAGTGACTCAGCACTCTTCTGTCAATGTGTCATACTGTAGTGGTTTGCGTATTGCTGCGATACTAGAAGCTATGCCACTAGATTTTAGATCCCCAGCAGGTTCACCAATGGTGGACAGGTTTCAGTGGCGCTTCTAGATGAAGACAAAGAAGAAAAATCTAGTGATCTACTTCTAAAATAATTGACCAGTGAACACTTTATGAATAGCAATGGAACATTGTCTCATATAGTGCCAGGAGATGAGCCTCTTAGGTTGGAAGGCACTCAAAATACGACAAGGAGAAGAGGTGCCACCTGAAAGTACAGTTGACCTTAATAACGTGGATGAAGTATTTTTCAGGACCTTCATTTGCTGATATTATACCACTCAAAATGAGAAGAAACAGCTGCAAACATCGCTTAATACTCAGAATGTGGAATGTACAAAGTGTGAATCTAGCAAGAAATTTGGAGGACAGCTGCCTGGCCAGCCTACTGAAAGGATCTATGTTTATGCCCATTACAAAGAAAGATAATCCAACAGAATGCAGAAATTTTCAGACAGTATCATTAATATCGCACACAAGTAAAATTTTGCTTAAAATAACTCAAAAACAGTTGCAGAAGTACACAGGGAGCTGCCAAAAATTCAAGCTGCGTTCAGAAGAAGACATTGTATGTCATTGCTGATACCAGGTGGATCTTGGCTGAAAGCAAGGAATACTAGAAAGATGTCTATTTGTATTTTATTTTATCTATGCAGAGATTATTCGACTGTGTGGATCATAAAAATTATGAATAACATTGCAAAGAATGGGAATTCCAGAACACCTAATTATGCTCATTAGGAACCTGTACATAGACCAAGAGGTAGTCGTTCAAACAAAATAAGGAGATTCTGCATGTTTTAAAATTAGGAAAGGTGTGTGTCAGATTGTATCCTTTCACCATACTCTTTAATCAGTATGCTGAACAAATAATCCAAGAAGATGGACTATATGAAGAATGAGGCATCAGAATTGGAGGAAGACTCTTGCCACCCTGTGACATGCAGATGACACAACCTTGCTTGCTGAAAGTAAAGAAGACTTGAAGTACGTATTTTTGAAAAGCAAAGACTATATCCTTCAGTATGGATTTCACTTCAACATGAAGAAAACAAAAATTTTCACAATTGGCCAGTAGACATCATCATGATAAATGGAGAAAAGATTGAAGTTATCAAAGATTTCATTTTACTTGGATCTACAATCAATGCCCATGGAAGCAGCAATCAAGAAATCAAACAACATATTGTGTTGGGCAGGTTTGCTGGAAAAGACCTCTTTAAAATGTTAAAAAGCAAAGATGTCGCTTTGAGGACTAAGGCGTGTATATTCAGTCACCTCTTATGCTTGCAAAAGCAAACAAGGAATAAGGAAGACTGAAGAAGAATTGATGCCTTTGAATTACAGTATTGGTGAAGAGTATTAAATATACCATGGATTGCCAGAAGAACAAACAAATCAGTCTTGGAAGAAGTATTACCAGAATGCTGCTTAAAAAATAGGATGGCAAGACTGTGTCGTGTACTTTGGACATATTATCAGGAGGGACCAATTCTTAGAAAAGGATACTATGCAAAAAAGACGACGACCCTCAATGAGATGGATTGACAACTGGCTGCAACAACAAGCTCAAACATAGTAATGATTATGAGGATGGTGTAAGACTGGGGAGTGCTTTGTTCTGTTGTACATAGGTTTGCTGTCACTCAGAACAGACTTGATGGCACCTAATAATGACAACAAACCACTGAGAATTGTGGCCCAGCCAAGTTAACACATTTTGGGGAGACACAAATCAATCCATGTTGACAGCCTAATCATTGTCATCTTATCATGCTGGGATTCATAATAACTCAGTATGTTGACCTTCAAGACAACATTAAAGGAAACACTTCAAGTATCTTTAATTTTAAATAATTAATCAACTGGATTACATGCTTTTTTTATTGGTTAATTGTTAAGATTTTTTTAGATGTGTTTAATATGTTTTTTTTTTTAATAGGACTATCACCAGACCTGCAGTCTATGGAGCAGATTCGAAGAATCATGAGACCCACTGATGTCCCTGATACAGGTAAGTGTATAGGGAAGTTTGATTGTTTTTCATGAAATGCTGGCATATTTTACCCTTTGTACCTAATTATATCTAGTGAGAATAACATTAGTTCATGTAGTAAATAATGTTGTTATTGTTAGGTGCCATCTAGTTGATTCCAACTCATAGCAACCCTGTGTACAACAGAACAAAACAGTGCCCTGTCCTGTGCAATCCTCACAATCCTTACTATGCTTGAGACTATTGTTGCAGCCACTGTGTCATTCCATCTCTTTGAGAATCTTCCCCTTTTTCTATGATCCTCCACTTTACCTTCTCCAGGGACTGGTTCCTTCTGACAACATGACCAAAGTAGGTGACGAAGTCTGGCTATTTTCTCTTCTAAAAAGCATGCTGGCTGCACTTCATCCAGGACAGATTTGTTTGTACTCCTGGCAGCCCATGATATTTTCAGTATTCTTCGCCAACACCACAATTCAAAGGCATCAACTCTTCTGTGGTCTTCCTTATTCATTGTCCAGCTTTCACATGTATCTGAGGCTATTGATAATACCATGGCATTTGGATCATGTGCGCCTTACATGTTCAAAGTGACATCTTTGTTCTTCAAAACTTTAAAGAGATCTTTTGCAGCACATTTGCCCAGTGCAATGTGACATTTGATTTCTTGACTACTGCTTCCATGAGTACTGAATGATTGAGCTCTTTTTTTTTATAGTGAATAAACTGGACATTATTTTAGTAATGTATAATAACATTTCACTTTGCATTAATCATTCCCTAAGTGCAAAATTTTTAAGTTTTATATTCAATAACAATATTGTTCTATCAAGAGTTTTATCACAAAAGATCTTCCTACTGATTCTTCCTCTTACCTCCCTGTCTCTCCACATTCCTTTATTTAAATCTGCATTATTTATATTCTTCAAAAATTTGTTAAATTAGTCACAAGTTTTTCGATTAAAATCATCTTTTTTTTCTTAGTTGATATATGTACCTTTTTTTGTTGTTGTTGTTACGTGCCATCAAGTCGGACCCGACTCATAACGACCCCTCCTTGGGTTTCCGAAGTGGTATCACTACAGAAGTAGATTGCCCAGCCTTCTGGTTAGCAGTCAAGTGCCTTAGGCACTATGCTACTAGAGCTCCTATTTATCTTTTAGATCATCTAATAGTTTTCTATTTTGTGCCTCTGCATCAACAATGTTTTCCATTTTTAGAGCTTTTATTGTGAATATTGACTGTTTGGGCATTCAATATAATTCCTAGATAAAAACAGCTCAGAATAAAAGCAGATAGAATTCCACTTGGGGATAAAATGTTGTATTGGTTAATAAATGAGCCAAATATAATTTTATAAATGAATGATAATCTGCAGTTGCTACATACCCAGATTTTTTTTCTTAGCTTTAAAATAATTGTAATTATTCATATGTGAGTACCAACATATGTACTAAAAGAAGCCCACATGGCACAGTTCCAAAGCATTTAGTGGCTAAGCAAAAAGTCAGTGGTTCAAACCCACCAGCCACTCTGTAGGAGAAAGATGTGGCATTCTTCTTCCATAAAGATTATTTATACCTCTCGATTGTCATGTATCCCAGATAATTCCTAAAGCAAATACATTCTGGTTTTACTCAGTTTTATTTTCACACTGAAATTATATATTCTTACAGTGGCTTTCTGCTCACTGGAATCTACGGAAACAAAGTATGAGCTTGTGTGTGTATGTGTGTGTGTGTGTGTGTTTTAAAGAATCAACTTCAACCAGAAAAGATTTGTAAATGGAGACTAATTATCCTTTCTTAAAACATCATAGCAAGCCTGGAATTGAAATCACCCCGCTCACAGCCAAATAATAGACAGGTATATAAGGTGAACTTTTATACTGGGTAGGTACACTCCTTAAAACAATCAACCACAGAAGATCAAAAGGGCAGTATTTGTTCATGGAGTTAGCTCAGAGGGCAGGTATGCATAGGAAAGGAGGACACAAGGAAAAGGTAAACTCAGGGAGGAAGTAAGATGAGAGCTGTTACATAATGGGGATTGCAGTCAGTGTCATGAACCAAAATGTGTATGAACGGTTGTATGGAAAATGAATTTCCTTTGTAAATTTTTACCCAAATCACTGCCCCCCAAAAAAATAGCAAAATTTCTTAAGGAATATCAATAGAAATTAAGAGTATCTTGTTACCAATTCTACAAAGGACTTTAAACAGTTCCTTAGAAAGACAAACTATATTATGAGTCAGAATAAAGATCTCCTTTCCTGCTAAGCTATATTATAGAGGTTTCTCTGGTAGCGTAGTGCGTAAGGCAGTTGACTGCTAACCAGAAGGCTCGCAGTTCAAACCCACCAGCCACTCCTCGGAAGGATGGGGCAATCTACTTCCGTAGTGATATTGCCCTGGAAACCCAAGGAGGGGTCACTATGAGTCGGGTCCGACTCGACAGCGTATAACAACAACAGCATATGCCAAGGGAGCTCTGGTAGCGTAGTGCCTAAGGCATTTGACTGCTAACCAGAAGGCTGGTGGTTCAAACCCACCTTGGAAGGAAGATGGGGCAGTCTACCTCCATAGTGATACTGCCTGGGAAACCCAAGGAGGAGTTGCTGTGGATCGGGTTCAACTCGACAGCACATAACAACAACAGTTACCAAAAACATCTTAAAATTTACTCATTCTATAAAAAATAACAGTGTGCTGATTTCTCACTATCCCACCTTCCCTTGGCACCATAGTTCTTAAAAAAGTACTTCAGCATACTGTCTCAATGTCCACTTCCTTTTAATCCCACTACTTAATCCCAGTTTGACTTTACCCACTCTTTTCCCCCTCAGTCATCAGGAAGCTGCTTTCATTAAGCTGATGTTGCACTTATAAGTGATAAATTTTGGGTCCTCATCCTACACCATTCATTTTTGACACTTAAAACTGTTAACAATTTCCTACTTCTAGAAAATTCTTTATTCTAATTTCTTTTGTTTTGACCATTTCTTAATATTTTTTGCTCATCCTCTCTCCATTGCCTGCCCATTAAATGTTTGGATTTCCCAGAGTTCATTTACTGGTTTTTTTCCATTTTATATTCCAAAAGTGGTTTAAGTCCCTGCTAAAATTTCCTCTGCTATTAATTAGTATGATGAAATTCATAGATAAATATTTCTAACCTTGACTTAACATTTACCCAAAGCATTACCAGAGCCATGGATTTCATTTGATTGTGTCATTCCTAATGTGTTTTTAAAATTTCAGGCCTCAGTGGAAAATGTTTTTCATCCTCAAATTGATCTGTAGATCAAATAGAATTCCAATGAAATCTCATTTTTCATGGAATTAGACAAGCTGATTCAGAAGTTTATGTGAGAAAGGAAAGGATCAAAAATAACCAAGATAATCCCAAAGGGAAAAAATTAAGTGGTGATACATAAGCCCTGCTAAATATAAAGAGTTATTTAAAAATTCTAATGAGTAAGTCTGTGTTAGTGGCTGAGGAATAGATAAAAACAGGCTGATAGAGTGGATTACACAACCCAGAAACAGTATAGATCTGTAGGGAAAGGAGAGCCTCTTCAGGAAATGCTGTTTCGTTCATTGGTTATCTGTATGGAGAAACTACACACACAAGAGGAGCAACATTTTTCGTGTACCTTTTGTGCTCAAAACGTACCATACTAATATTTCCTCTGTGTGGAAAGGGCTGGAAAACACTTCCCTAAAAAGCCAAGCAAGATTACATTCATATGATTGCTTTAGCAAAGAGTGGGAGAAGTTCAATAGACTGGAATACTGGAGAACAACTGATTGTTTCTGTTAAAAAAATGAAAGAGTGAGAGAGCAGGAAAAGAATTGAAATGTGATATTAGATATACTTTATAAATTTGGGGATTTTTTGTTTTGTTTTTTAATTCCTATATTTTTATTCTTTGGAGGATTGCTCTGTGATTTGCTATGGTCTGACCCAGATAAGGATGTGCAAGGCTGGGGGGAAAATGATCGTGGTGTTTCCTTCACTTTTGGAGCCGATGTTGTCAGTAAATTTCTGAATCGTCATGATTTGGACTTGATTTGTCGAGCTCATCAGGTATAATATAAAAAGATACTTTAATAATTATTAACATCATACTAAGTCTTCTCATTTTATTTTGCGTAAACTCAGATCCAAGAAAGTTAAATGACTTAAGAACAAAAAGAATTTTGCAGCAGTTGAGGAAATCTGATTATAACTGGAAATAGATTAGATACCAAGGAATCATTGATCTAGCTGTGATAATTGCATTATTTTTATGTGAGAGGAATGTCTACATTTTTTTCAGAAATACATATTTATGTAGAGGTAAAACAGCATGTTTGAGATTTACTTTAAAATATGTCAGAGTTGCATTGTGGTAAACTGTGGTCAATGACATGAGACAAAGTATATGTGAACTGCTGTATGGAAAGTGAATTTGCTCTATAAATCTTCACCCAAATCACAATAAATAAAAAGAAAAAAAAAAATGTCAGCAGAGTAAGAAAAGTGAGGGAAGGGGGAGACAAATGAAACAATTGTAGCAAAATGCTAATAGTAATTGAATTAAAGTGGTGATTCTCATTATCTGCACAAGTGTATATGACATGTTTCTTCCCTAGCAGGATTTCCTAGTTTAGTTAAAATAATCATGACCCAAGATCCCTTGCTTTGAGCTTTTAACCAGTAAATCTTTGTTTTTGGGACTTTGATAATTAAAACATATTTTTTATTAAATAACATGAGACAGTTACTAAATAATCCTAGCTTAAGATACCCACTGATGTTAGTTTTTTAAATCTCCATTTTTTTAGATCTCCAGTCACTGGTCTTTTCAAAAGTTGAGGCTAGTTTTTGGTTTGTTTTTTTTTTCCAGAAACCTCCAAAATCCTATTCTGCTTATTTTCAAAATGTGTTATCTTTACTTACAGTGGGAAACTACAAATATTTCCATTTAGGAAGAAGAAAAGTACATTTAATAATGTTTGAAAGGATGAATTGAATAACCTAAGAAACATGTACCAAGTGCCAAGCACTACACTTGGGGATAGGTAAAAATCATAATAGAAAAGGTTAATATCTAAATTATATCATGCATTTAATTATGTAACAGACATATGTATCTGCTACTGAGGATGGGAGTTACACAACAATATGTTATTTTGGAGGTGCTTTCTTGTGTTGAAACAAGAAATTATCATAAGATTATTTTGCTTACCAACCAGAACCTTTTGTCAGGTCGTTTCTTCCAACACATGGTAACTGATAGGAATTTTGATGTCTGATTTTTGCATAGTAGATCACCAGGCCTTTCTTCCGAGGTAACCATGGATGGACTCAAACCTGTAACCTTTTGGTTAGTAGTAGATGTTTTAACTGTTTATTTAACAAAGGACACCTAAAATGGATTTTAAAAAGTAATCTTGCCTACTGCAAATAAATATAAAATGTTACATGTCTTTAACTACCTTTTAAGTTTTATAGAGCTGAGAAATATAAATTGATGAAGTTACTCAGGAATTGACAGCAGATTCTATAAATCTTGTTAAGTAAGGAAAATAACATAAAAATTTGATCTATAGGCCTCTAATTTTTAAAGAAGCATAATCTATCTTTTCAGTGCATAACTGTATAATACTAACAGAAAATTATAAAATGGAGCAAGAGAAAACTTGGGAAAAGACTTATCTTTCGTTGTCTGGTTGCTGTTCACTGAAATAAGTATTCTGTGGTTTGATCTCAATGCCATCATAAAGAAGTACTTTATGTCCTGACTCCATGCAGACACTATTAGCGTAGTTTGTTTTAGTTTTATGGGGTGCCTTGAAGATGGTTTGATTTTTAAACCTTTCAGTAATAATGAGTTTATCATTGTTCCATTTAAGCTAAATTCTTAGCATTATGGAAAAGGTACACCAAATTTAATATTCTAAAGCAAAGTTAAAAAATAAAAATCACAAAACAGGTTCTTCTGGGTTTTTCTTTACCACATGAATTTCAGTGGTTAGGAATTACCATAAATACATTTCAGTGTGTTTTTCTTTTGACATTTCCTTTGACAGGTGGTTGAAGATGGATATGAATTTTTTGCTAAACGACAATTGGTAACCCTCTTCTCAGCCCCAAATTACTGTGGCGAGTTTGATAATGCTGGTGGAATGATGAGTGTGGATGAAACATTGATGTGTTCATTTCAGGTATGATATAAATACACGTTTATAATGACTATCAACAGAAGGCTGGCGGTTCAAACCCACTGGCCACTCCTCAGAAGGAAGATTGGGCAGTCTACTTCTGTAGCAATACTGCCTCGCAAATGCAGGGAGGGGTCACTGTGAGTCAGATCCACTCCATGCAGTGAGCTTGGTTTTGGTTTGGTTTATCGAATTAAAACTACTAATAGGAGAGTTTCGAATTTTTTTAAAAGAATTTTTCTTTTAAATTTATGATCTTTCCTTGAGCAAGTGTAGGATATAGATTTTATTCAGACATGATTCTCACTCATAGACTCATTAGAGATTTCTGGTTTCAATCACAAAAGTTCCAGCCTTTATGAAATATATCAAATAGGATTTTGGGAAGCCTAAGTGCAGTACTAGTTCATCTTTGATTCATATGTTTAAATTATTAAATTCTATGTGACTTGTTAGATTTTGGCTTAAATATTAAAAATGTGAATACAATTAATAACTTAGCATTTCGTTTTCTTTTGCATGGTGAATGGGTGGGACAGATCAGATACTAGAGAGGGAGAATTATAAACTCAGATGAGAATAAAGTAGAATGAAAAGTTTTGCATATCATCTTAAAGTACCCACCATTTATAAACATTAAAAAATTACATTTTCAAAAGAGGCCAATTCTAACTTTAGTGTGCTATTTACTAATCATTTTTGTTTGTTGTTGTTGTTGTTGTTAAAGTGCCGTCGAGTCGTTTCTGACTCATAGCGACCCCATGCACA